CGGTCTGAGCCAAGCCTGGGCGGCCTGACCCTTCCCGCCCAGCTTGGGGCCGAGGAAGCCGAAAGTAGCTTCAGCGAGGCTTAGCGCCCCGGACCGCCGAGGACCGGTCTGATCGTGGCAGAGACCGGGATGTGTGGGGCGAGGCCGTAAGGACTTGACTCACCTTCTCCATCCCCTTTCTACCCAACTCCCCATCCGGAGGGCTCCGGGCCTCCAGCTGCCAGCCCCCGATTTCGGGGCAGGGTGTGACGACCCCGATTTCTGTTTGCAAGCACAGCCAGCACTTCAAGAGCCAGGTCCCAAGGTTGGATCTCTTTTGCCTGGGCTGCTAGCCCGGGCCTCAGAGTCTTGGTGAGTGCTGTGATGTTGCAGGGGTGTCCGGGAGGGCAAAGGGTGCTAACCACCTCTCCTCATCTTTTCTGTTTTACTTGAAAGCCTTGCCTCAAAGTGCAAAACATGCCCTAGGTGCACAGAGCCCGCACGGCTCAGCCCAGCACGGCCCAAGCACTGCTGATGCTGGAAGGGCATCTGCATCTCCCTGCCCAGTGGCCCATGGGGCTGTAAGGACAGCCCAGCCCTGGTTGTTTAGTCACCTATTAGCCGGGGTGGCAATGGGGGAGGAGAAGTCCTCTCCAAGCCCAAGAAGGGGGTCTTTGTGGTGATGTAGGGGGATGAGAGACATTTGGGCCATAGGGCAGTACCTCTCTGAAGGGCCCCTTGTGATCAAAAGGGAAGTAATTCTTTCATTGACATTTTTATATTCATCATGGCCATACCAGTTGGGGAAGGGGAGAGTCTGACAAGGGGTCTAAGCAGCCTCTGGACACAATGCTTGTGTGTGTGTGTGTGTGTGTGTGTGTGTGTGTGTGTGTGATTTGTAAAGCGCGTGCACAGCTAGAGAGGCTGCGGTTAAAGGTTAGGTGCTCACAGAGCACTTGGAATTAATAGGTAAAAACTTGTTGGGTTGGGGCAGTGGTTCTCAACCTATGGGTTGCGACCCCTTTGGCGGTCGAACGAACCTTTCACAGGGGTCGCCTAAGACCATCCTGCCTATCAGATATTTACATTACGATTCATAACAGTAGCAACATTACAGTTATGAAGTAGCAACGAAAATAATTTTATGGTTGGGTCACAACATGAGGAACTGTATTTAAAGGGCCTGAAGGTTGAGAACCATGGGGGGGGGTCGCCGGGGGCCCAACAGATACAAGGCAGGCACGTGTGGCCTGGCTGTCAGGAGCGGGTGGGGAGCAGGGCTCCCCAAGGGGCTGCAGGCGGGGCGACCGGGAGGCCTGGGCCCAAGGCCTGTGGGCGGGGC